GACTCCCGCTGAAGGTGGGCCTACTGATCCAGGCTCCAGTTCCTTCGCCAATGCGAATGTGCATTGTGGAGTCATTGCTATTTCGCCACGTAGTGGCGGACCAAGTCTAAGTGGCCCATGTTTCAGTCATGGTAGCGTCAACGTCAGATGCGAGCCAGTAATCAGCATCAGCCTGCAAAAAAAATGGAAGACCATGAGTGTCGAGCAGCCTTGATTAGTTGGGTCTGTGATGCTGTTTTAATAGCATTCCTTACATCAGTATCTGGCAGTACGATTTTCAGAATGCCAGACATCAGTTCATGTGTACTGGATGGTTCCGATGTATGCTTGCCGACAGTGTCGCCCTCTCCCTTTTCGGGAGCTTGACTTGGATGATCATCCACCGGCCTTGGAGCATCTGAACCTCCAGCTGTGGATGCATGATCCAAATTGTCTTGTGCCACCTGCTCTGGGTCGGATACCCCCTGATGGTCACTGGCAGAAAATAGCAGCTTCGTTAGTACCATTGAGTGTGAGTTCTACAATAAGTGGTTTGCGGCAGTTTACCTTATCAAAAAGCAATCAATGGGACCCATTGAACTTCTCAAGAGAAGCTGGTAATGCTTTTCTTGAGACTCCAGGTCCTTGCAGATGTCCATATCCTGGTAAATGAAGTAGCGTCAACAACCAGACAGATCAATCAGCTATAACCACATAGCTGAAAGGTAACTAGAGATTGCTTACCGCATTAGGATCTGGAACCTCAACACAGGTTCCGTGAGGAGCATGTATTGCAATACGAGTGGATCCCTGCAATCAGTGGGGCAATTGTTGAAATGCCTTTGTGATTACAGGAAGAAGAAACAGACATGAAGCAAGGAACTTTCTTACCTGTAAGTGAGGAATCTTACAAATATCTTCCTTGGAAAGATACAACCACCTAAACAGAAATACATAAGGACTCGGTTGATTGTAGCAACAAATATTATTTGTGAACATAAGAGACGACAATCTTACTTTTTTTTGTCCTTATTTAGTTTGAGCGCCAGCAGTTTCTCTTGTGCTTCTCTGCAGAATCAGTAACTATTCATCAAAAAAGAGAGCAGCGATCAGGTATTTTTGTTGTTTCGGTGAAAAGAAGGAACTTACCGTATTTCCTCATCCAACCTGCATTCTTCATCATGTGATGAGTCCAGTTCCTCCTGTAATATAATCAAATGAAACTTTATACAAAAGTTTAGGACAATAATGCTAATGTTCAGGTCGACTGGCTTGCTGTCAGAAGATGGGCCTGCTAATTTGCATTTTGTTTCATCAGGGAAAAAAGGGGGATTGCATTTTGCAGACAATACTGTGAACTTTGAGAAAGGCAGAAAGCCCTCAGTCAAACGAAGTGTGCTTAACATAGATTAATGGAATTCTGATACGTGCTTTATTCCTCTGGTTATCTTAGATATACTCATAATGACTTGGATATTTCCTAGAACTTTCTTTTACAAGACAGTGGGCGTGTTGCATCCACTAAATCATCGGTACACACCATTCACTATAGAAACACTTTGCTGCAACACCCATGGTCTGATTAGTCATATAATTTACAATTAGAAACTAAATGCAACTGTAGAAAAATGAGCAAATAAACGTCCCTCTGTAATAATGAAAAATAAATTAAAGCTTAATAATGCACGCACAGTGTATGTATATAAAGCATGAATATAGTAACAAAAACATAAAAACAGAAAATGAAGATCATACAGTTGAGTAGTATAGTGTACCTTCAATGCAGAAGTTTGGAGCTCCACCTCCTTAGGCAGTAACATGTCAAATCCCCTTCAGATGTATTTATTTCATCAGTAAAAAGCTACGACTGGGAAAATGCATTAAAAGCAGAAACATGGGGCACTTACTTCCAACGAATCGTATTCTTCAGGCCCTTTTCAATTAAATCTACACCTTCTAGGACATTTGTTATATCATATATCCTCCGCTTTTGCACCTACAGAAATTAATAAAACTAAAAAGACATTAAGGCACTAAACTCCAGACAATGAAAAAAGAACAGACACCAACGAGGCTGAGACAGTAGAAAGCAAATTTCATTTTGCTATATACTAAACCAGACCTCCAGTATCTCAACTGCTTTATTTAAATCAAGGGTTCCATCTTCTGCTCCTTTAAGCAGGTTGATGAATTTCTTTGTCAGCAGACCTGGCATGAAGAAAATAATAAGCAACAAACATACATCATCTCTTTTTTAACTTTGGAAGAACAACAGCATACTTTACCTAGTGAACTGTCATAGCGGCAGTTGTTTGCTGCATCTCCTGAAAGCAAAATTGGTGCCGTCAACAAATGACTATTATATTAACAAATTTGGTTCAATAATAAACTGGAAGTATTATCATCAAATGACCAAAGTGACGCACATCGAATATTTTGTGAACTGACTTAAATGCAACCAAGAACGCACCTTCAATTGATCCATGTGGTTTTCTTGCTCGCTTGATACCTTTTGTTGGTCCAGTGGTACTCTCCTTATGATGCCCTTGACTAATCTCTCCCTTCCCAACTTCAGACTGGGCATTTTCTATTTCAATTTTCTGCTCATTTTCCTAAATCATGTGAAGAAGATACATGAAGATGTCAGTAACACTTATAGTCTCATAGGTACACTAACTCGCTAACAGAATGCAGCTAATTGAAATAACCATAATAGAACACTATGTCGTTTCTAAAGATGAATTACGGCATCCATGAGTCTTGAAATGGACGGTATGCTGTGCTAACTTTCTAACT